GGGGGCGGCGGAGGCGCATCCACTCCTCGCGCATCCCGCCAGCAGTCCATAGTACGGACGACCGCGCGGACGCTGCGGGGTGCGAGGTAGGGCGGCCGGCGGGGGCGGGGGCAGACGCGATATTAGACGTGACCCAGAGCTGTATGCTCCGGCTGTAGCACGTCGTGGTGCCGATGACGGCCCAACACAGTGCGGGCCGCTTTTCATGGTTAAGAAGCGTGAGCGTGAGGTGCGTGGCGGGCCAGCAAATCGCTGCGGGTGGCTCAGGCGCGCGAGCGAGCGGACGGACGGCGAACGTACCTTGTAAAGCGAATAGCCGGATGAGGGTGGGCGCAAGCGAGTAGTACACCCACCAGCGCTTGAGGAGGCCCGTGGTCAGCTGGAGACATTGCCACCCGGTGAGGATGGACTGAGGCGTGCGCATGGTAGTCAGGACCGTGCATACAGTGAGAAAAACTGGGTGGGTAGGCTTACCCAGAGAGTGCTGACGAAGAAATCGATGCGCCATTCGAGCGAGCGCGCACCTGGGCCGCCTGGCGGCCAAATGATATGATAAATATTCCAGAGAGTACCAAAAACGGCGGGGACAACGGAGAGAAAGCGGGAGAAAGTGATGAGGAAAGGAATGAACCAGTTTGGGAGAGCAGGGAAGGTCAGGCGGGCACTTCGAGCAGTGTAGAGATGATTGAGCTGCATGGAGCGTGTCAGTGCGATGAAAGGTGAGTATATGCGCCCATTCCCGAGAAATATGATCCGAGTCTGAGTGCCAGCTGGATATATGCGCTGCGCAAAGCCCCAAAAGGCCATTCCGGACCAAACTTCCGTTCACGAAGAGGTAATTTTGACTCGATAATGCCAAACAAGTAGGAGAGATGCCAAAAGTCGACTCACCGAGTCTTCGCTCTCCGTCTCCGTCTCTCCGGGACCGTGCAGCCCTGCGGTGGTCGCGATCGGTTGTGAGAGTGTGCCTTCAGACGCGCGTCTCTTCCTCTTCAATAGACGTGATCGCAAGGCGTGTGCCATCACCGAAGTCGGCACGGCATAGATCATGCCATCATCCGACAATGTTTCATCGGGCTCTTCGTCGGAGCTGTTTGCGTTCAAGTTCGACTGCGAGTAGGAGGGCGGGGTGGCGAGAGGGACGGCAAGAGCAGATGAAGAAGGCGAGCTGGAATAGGTGTGGAACTGGCGAGGACGAGGCGGTCTGAGATACGGAGAGGAGCTTGCCCGGGAGATTGGAGCGGTGCAAGTCGGAGCCAATGGGATGGGGGAGTATGGAGGGGGGCTGCTGTCTGGGGTAGACATGCCTGCGAATGGACGAGTAACAACCCGTCTATGTCTTTGCACAATGTCGTTGGTTGTGAGGGAACGGGGTCGAGTGGAGAGCGGAAGCCCAGACGAATACACAGGTGGTAAAGCAGGAGTGATCGATGGTGTGGGATGCAAAAAGGACAGAGAAAGACGTGGAGAATGATTAGTCGTTAGAGAGGTTGAAGCAGCAGGCAAGTAGAGTCGAGAGCGAGCTTGGGTGTGCGTCGGGGACGTACCCGAGGACCGGCTCGGCGACGTGTCGGTATATGCGGGCGGAGGGACTAGAAAAAGACGAGATGGACGTCGTGTGTAAACACGGGATGGAGGCAGCTGTGGATCTGCATGGCGGTTGCGGGAGGTCATCGCGGTCAGAGGGCTAGTTAAGAAAAAAAGAGGGTTAAGTAGTGCTTACGATGGGAAGCTTGGCTTTAAACAGGGGAGGATGATATGGAAAGCTCAGGCTGTTATCTACACACGCTACCCGTCCTGGCACAGGCCTAGGGAGGAAGTGGCATGGATTGGACCGCGACGGTCAGGAGCACGGCCGTCGCTGCAACCGTCTTTCCTCCCTGCGTCGTCACGTGGACCAGCGCCTCGCACCCTCGCCCTCGTTAGCCCTCGTTTCTCCAAGTTCCTCCTCAACCTACTGCGACCGCGATGGTAAACGGACACGGAATTCCTTGCACGACCCAGATGGTGGAGCTTGAGTGGAGCTCAGTGTACGCCCATCGATGGCAAGCCTGCTCGCCGCACTCATTGCAGCTCTCGTATCTACGAATACTATCCTTTATCTCTGCGATGATGCTAACTATGATAGTTACATGCTCTGGACCCATCTTGTTCAGCGATAGGAGACTACTGCATCCGTCCGACGCTACTCGAGCGTGTGTAAGTGCAAAGATAGTTGTCTCCAGTACACTTCAGCGGCGACGGTTCCAGTTTGAGGTCTTCCCTGTTAGGCAAGTCTGTTGCCCGATCCGGTATGTTTTCCAGGACAGATTTTTGTCTGAGGCGCACCTTGCGAACGAACGTTTGTCTGCGTATACTGTATATAACGCGCTCGTGCTCTCCGAGACCATCGCTCCGGCCTTTCCCCTATCCTCATCTTGTGCCTGGCGCCGTGTGCGCAGTCGTCATCTACACTTTTTTAGGCCTTCGACCGCCACTGGCAGGCTGAGGCTTGGCTGAGCGATTCCCCTGTGAAGCCGTGCAGTAGTGTCCTAGCAGTTGAGCAGAGTCGAGTATCTCGGCGGCAAATGGCCTTTGATCGTGGGACAGGTGCTTTCCCTTTGTAGCAACAAAATTATCACAGGCCAGGATTTCTGCAGAAGTGGGTCGACAACGAAAATGCATCGCGTCCACGACAGGCTCCAGCCGCGTCTACCTTGGCCTCCGCCAGCTCTCGACTGTCTCTCCAGCGTACTCAAAAGGCCTTTCTTGTCCTCTTTCTGTGTGCTCTACACAAGACATGTCGACCGCGACCTACGACGTCCTCGTCGTCGGCGCCGGCGTTGCTGGCTCTGCCCTAGCCCACGCTCTCTCCACCCTCCGGCGCCCCAAGCCACTCCGCATATGCCTTATAGAACGCTCTCTCGCTGAGCCTGACCGTATAGTTGGCGAGCTCCTCCAGCCGGGCGGCGTCGCAGCATTGCAGCACCTCGGAATGGGCGCATGTCTTGACGGGATTGACGCCATCCCCGTGCACGGCTACTGCGTCGTCCTCAATGGCAAGCCGGTGCACATTCCCTATCCCGACGCGAAGGAGGGCCGCAGCTTCCACCACGGACGGTTCATCCAAGCTCTCCGTGCAAAAGCTAAGAAAGCATCTGGAGTGGATGTGGTCGAGGCAACCGTCTCTGAGCTGATCGAGTGTCCAAAGACGGGCCGCGTGTTGGGCGTGCGTGCCGCGCGCAAGCAGGACGGTGCATCGGAAGGCTCCGCCGTGGAGAAGGAATCCTTTTTCGCGGATCTGACCGTCGTCGCGGATGGCTGCTTCTCGAATTTCCGTTCCACAGTCCTCGCTGGCGCAGGCGTCAAGCCAGAGACGAAGAGTCACTTCGTGGGAGTTGTGCTGGAGGATGCAAGGCTGCCTATGAGCCAGCATGGCACGGTGGTGCTCGTTGAAGGCCACGGTCCTGTGCTTCTGTACCAGATCGCTCAGCATGACACTCGCATGCTGGTCGACCTTAAAGTACCTCTTCCGTCCGACATCAAGGTAGGCTCTCTATTAGCTCAGCCTGCTCACACTCATGCTCTGGCTGTTACAGGAAGTGATACTCTCCGAGATCGCACCCCAGCTTCCGTCGTCGCTACAGGAGCCCGTGCGGACCGCGCTTGCAAAAGACCGTTTGCGTCGCATGCCAAATTCCTTCCTCCCCCCTGCTGAACAGGGCGGTCAACATACGAAAGAGGGTGTCTTCCTCCTCGGCGACTCGTGGAACATGCGGCACCCTTTGACGGGCGGCGGCATGACTGTCGCATTGAACGACGTCGTAATGCTTAAAGAGCTACTGACACATGTGGACGACTTGTCGGATTGGAGACAAGTATCGCGCGTGCTGCACAGGTGGCATTGGTCGCGCAAGCGGTTCGCGTCGACTATCAACATCTTGAGCGTCGCGCTGTATGACCTCTTCGGTGCCGATGGTACGTGCAACGGGTTTGTAGCGTCGTGTTCGCTGACTGAAGGATGCACAGACGAATGTTTGGGGGTCCTTCGGACAGGGTGCTTCAAGTATTTTGAGCTGGGCGGCGACTGTGTTCGTGGGCCCGTCTCAATGCTCTCAGGGTACGTGAAGCCAGCTTTCGTACGCGACCTGTTGATGACGGCCGTCGAACAGGCTCGAGCAATCGACGGTTCTGCTCGCACGTCACTTCTTCGCTGTGGCATTTTACGCCATCTGGGTGATGTTCACCCACCCCCGGGATTTGCGCGTTGCGGAGAAGCCCGTGTACGCAAGACCGCGCTTGGACGAATACCCGCTGCTGCTCTTGAAGTGCATACAGGTGGTGCGTGTGCGATCACCCCGTTCTTCCAGACCCTTTCTGACCGTTAACCTATTTGTAGTTCTGGACGGCATGCGTAGTCTTCCTACCGCTCGTGTGGACGGAGATCAGGTGGTGGTGAGCGGCTCGGCGATAGATTTATTATAGTATACCTGTGTCATAATTAATACCTGGACATTTTCTCCCTTGCTTGCTGGGTGTTCGCTTTGGTTCGCTTAGATGTATGTCGTTGCTTTGAGCCTTGTACTGATGTATATACAGTACATATACTTCGACATTAATACTGTCTTTAAAGCTTCACTTAAGACCTCAAGTATCTCCGTCTTCGCCCTTGACGAAGACGTGGCTGACTGACAGCGAGAGGACGCGCCACCTCAGCACTTCGGTGCTTTAGCCACAGCAGATTTATAACGACCTCCGAAGAAACGCAGCAATAATATTGCATAGATCTTACTCTTTTTTATTCAAGAACTATCTTCCTCGCATACTTCAGGTCTTCAACATGATGCCACAGACTTGACCGCGTACAGCGTAGAATGGGAACTTAAATTCAACTATCACGCACAATGGTGTGTGCTAAAGCGTACTTGTGCCCCCATTGTCCTGCGAGTGAGTGTTGAGAACAAGAATGTTCTTTCAGATGGTACAGGTCTTCCCTGAATTATCATCGATAGTCTCTGATACATCGCCGAATATTTCGATATTTTGCTGGTTCGATATCATTATCAACGTCAAGGTACCCATCAAGAGCTGATAAAGACCGTGCGTACCGGTCTGGGCGATACGTGGCTCATATGAAACTCCATAGTGGCAATGGTAGAAGAATGCTGTGGTCTAGCTTTGAGATGTTGTCGTGCATTTAGCCTAGACAGAACTGAGGGTCAACAACCTAGGTAGCCCGAGATAAATGTCGCACATAGCGATCAGCGAATTTGCATAGACTTTCGCAGCGTGTCAGTGAATGAAATCGTTGAATCTGAACAATGCGTACTTTTACTTTGCATATCAGACAGTCCGCCAAAGAGCAGACTGTTCTTCAAGGTTGGTGCCCATAACTAGATACAGCATGCGTAAACAAGGGAGGCACACAATTGCAACGAAGACTCATACTGCTGCAAGGACGGCTGCCGAAACACACCTTCGGGGCTGTGAATCGACATATTGTAAACAGGCAGACTCGGACTCAACTTACATCGTCAAGGCGCTAGTGTTGATAATGTAAGCCATCAGCGTCCGGATTAAACTATCTGTTCTAATAAGTAGAGAAGGTAGTTCAGACTCCAATCCAATAAAAAGGCAATAACTGCTCACGCCTGGAAGCCTGTACGACCAGTCCAGAGATAGTAAATCTGGCTGAGAACAATGAGTGCGTCCAGAACTGCTGAAAAAGCCATACAGCATGTAATCGAAATCTGCCGCGAGGACGATACAGCCGTTAATAATTTTGATGTTATCGCTATTCAACTATACAGCATACCATTGCTTTGTTGGATCTTCGGAAGTCGGCCCAAGTATCAAGTTTCCACCTAATCATGATTGAGCCAAATGTCAAAGAAAATGGTTTGGAAAATGAATGTTCGGTGACGTACATAAAACTTGCTGATGCTAAAGCAAGATTATGATAGACATTAAAAGACGCAATATGCTGAAATTATACTCCTACCCAACCCGAACACTGAAATAAGATTTGTTGGATTCGTGGCCGAGACAGTCATATTAATAATCGCACACACCGAAGCACACGAAGAGCAAGACTGCCTGTGCGATATTCAAGTTCAATTAGGCTAAATTTTGAGAATAAAACTCGCCAGTATGGAGATCAGCGCTACAGGTCTTCTAATACTCACTGCGAACACAAGTTAACACAACCAATACATATGAGAGTGCGCGGTTACGCACATATCCAGATTCGCCAAATCAAAAAGCTAAGCGAGTAAAACATGAGACATTGCCAGGGAACATGTGAAAATCCCACCTCTGAACCAAGCCTATGATAAGGACCTGCGCTCGAAGTCAGCTATTGAGTATAGATACTATGACAGTCAACTTACTTCTGCGAATGCTCCAGCCTGCATGCCGAATATGCCTTACTATTTCGAGACAACGGATGATTGTCAAGGTTTGGACGTACCCCGGCACTCCTGGAGTGAAAGTCAAGCATGAATTTAGGAAAATAGAAGATAGAAGACAAAAATAGGGCTTACCAAGTAATCTGAAGAACCCCTTCGATGTTCTCAAAGTCGATGATCGTGTAGTGATAAATAATTTCCATGCAGAACGCTGTGTGCAGTCTCCAAACACCTTTAAAATAACACAGCCTGGTGGGAAGAATGTTTTGTGGCTGAAGCCAGGGGTCTTACCATATGGATGGGATTAAGAAGCGAAGTAATGTCGACTCTTCTTGTGGTGTGCACCAATAGAAGTATACTTGTGCAGTAAAAATCCCGTACAAGCTTGGGATCAAGGTATCGTGAGTAGGCTGGAATACGTAGAAGGGAGGGAGTAGGAACGTACAGGACAGCAATATCTATGCTAACTGTAAATCCTCCTACAAGCTCTTCAATAGGTGGTGAGGCGATCACAGGCATCTTGATCCGGATTGTTTTGCGAGAGCGAGAGGTGGCACTCGAGAGTGGAATTCGAAAAGGCTCAGTGAGCAGGGCTTAGCGCAACAAGTCTTTGCCAATATGTTCTCCTCATGCTCTATTTGAAGCACTGTATGCAATCTCGTTGTGTGGCAACAGCGCTCCTGCAGCTGATTTTGATATGACTAGAGATGACAGATATGTTTGCGATCTTTATCAAAGGATTCAATGGGACAGGCTGGGTATCAGAGTATCATGATATCAATACGGGTTGCTGCACCCACGCAAAATCGGCGCTGCCAGTGACTCGATAGCCTTCACGGCTTCAAAATTGAGGACATAGTAATGACATCCGAAGCATAGGCTAGGACCAGCTATTAATGACAAGGACTCGGAGAATAATATGCCGACACGATGAGAGATCGCAGAATGGAGGTGTCTCCCATGCAGTCGTTGTAGAGTCATCACCAGAAATCAATGAAAAATTTCATACCAAGCTTTGAGAGTTCACCTAGGAAGCACCACTCGTGGCATCAGATAAAGATCAACATAGGTGTCAATTGGACACTTCCGTTTTGCTAATGACCGGGAGCAGAGAGGCGTATTGATCAGCACACGCATGACATTCAGAAACTTCTCGGTTTTCTCCTACCAGTGTCATGGGAAGAAGCAGCAGCGTGAGGACGTTACTGCTGCATGGCATCCGGATATAAGTTATCATCAGGTTGCACTACGTATCCTTGGCCTGCGTTACATGGGCGCCGAATGATGTTGGACCGCAATCCCACCATAACCTTCTGCAAAACGTCAGTCAGACTTCGGAATACATCACACAACGATGCATCCTCGGCGGCCTTGCTCCCATGTTCTTCCGACATCATGAGTACCTCATCTTCTACTGGGACCAGGAACACTGATGGTATCCGCGGGCCAAGTCCGTACTGGCACGGCATCTTGATATTTCTAACCGTGTTCCTCTAATCAGCTTCCTTTACTATTCTCACAGCGTACCTGCATGACGTTCCATCTGCACTCAGATTGAAGCAAGCTTCTCTTCAAGCCTATAGCTGTCCCGGAGCCTGTGTCCTCTTCGCACATGCAGATCGACTCCATGCGCCGCCCATGAAGCTCGAAGGACGACTTATCGGGTCACACGCTCGTATTGTTAATAGTTATACAGCTGCTGTACAGGCCATCTTGATCCACGAAAAACTCTTTTGTGTAGCGGTAGAAAGTAGCAAGACAAGCGTCATGAGCACTGAGCAGGACGGCAGAAAGTACGAGTGCCAAACTTGAAATTGAGATAAGCGTCGAAAGGAGTCGGGGATGGTCATGAAGAACAAAAGACGGCAGCGTCCTTTAGGCATGGGTGCTAGCAGGAAGCCAGCCTCTAAGCGTTCTTGAACAATGGTGTTGGAACCAAGTCGAATGCAGCGCGCGCAGTGGTTCGAAATGTCTAAATTCAAGTCCTCTTTGGACCCTTGCCCAACTTTTCTTTCTCTAATATGCACCTGGACCTCACAGACTCCCTAGCTAAATATCCCGTCATATCTAGTGGTAGTGCAAGCCAACTAGCATGTTTTGGCTAGTCCTCACCGAAGCGAAAACTATGCCTGTAGCTCCTCCTAACTTGAAGCTTCCCGGGGTCCGCGCCGTCGCCACTGATAACTGAGGGCGCTGGCGCCATTTGCGGCCCGCCGGCTGCGCCCGATCGCCAACGCCACGCGCGGTGATTAGGCGCGCGAACTCTTCCTGGCGAAGACGCGTTAGTAATTACGCACCCGGCTTGTACTCATACACTCCTGATTGTCACCTCATTTTGTGTCACAGGCTAACCTGCGCCATATACTTAGAGATATACTACCGATCCATGTAGATTTATCCAAGGGTATCCTCTATAATGTCCTCCACATTCCATTAGAACTATATCTATATATGAAGATTTAAGATGCCCTTATAGCCTCACAGACACCAGCCAACCGCAACGCCGATGTCTCTCAGACTCCGCGTTTCTGACAACGTCAGCGCGAAGCTGAGACACTCGCGCTCTCTATCCTTGCGACCCTGCAGCCCGTATTGTTTTGCAAGGAAGTACCACGCCTCCGGCACGTCCCAGCCTGCACCGCGCGTCAGGTCCGACAAGAGCCCCACCGCAAGGTCTACGCTGTCTCGATCCAAACACGCAGCTTTGTCTTCCCCTGATTTCGACGACGATATCAAATACAGTCGGCACAGATGAACAGTGGCAGATACGTCGTCGGGGGAGATGAACAGCGCCTTCTTGAACGCCTCGAGTGCGCGTCGCTCGTCGTTCAAGGCCATGTAATATAAGCCCAGCTGTGGAACGAGTATATATCAATACGGTGCAGGGACGAATGGTGGAATAAAATTAGAATAGACTCGCCTGTACCCAAACCGCAGGGTTAGCCTCATCCTTGACCTCTGCTTCCTGTATCGCGGCCTTCGCTTGTTCGATTTTGCCAAGCCTTCGGAATGTTGCTGCAGACATGAGCCACAGATTGCTCAACAGTCGTCTATCCTTTGCCGCCTTATAATTCTGCTTCCGCATTGTAGATACAGGTGATTGGGATGGTGGTGACGGTGGCGGTGGTGGCGGAGGCGGAGGCGGGGGTGCGTCGAGAAGTGATAAGTCTTGATGCGAAGAATAAATACTAAGATGCTGTCGTAAATGAATCGATGATGCTTGGTATGGTGAATGCCCCAGCACTGCATGCAAATCTGAGCACGCCACGTCAGTCGTATCTGCTTATAACATGTCTTCCGGCACTGACCTGGAGTGGAATTCGTACGCTTCAGGTTCATTCCACCATGTCTTCCGACATTGTGACCGATCTTCTTCGAGATCCGAGTGATCCCTGCTTGGCTCTTGTGCACACGGCTCTTCAGCACTTCCTTAACTTTCTTTCCCCTAGATATGTCCCGATTATGATCTCCTTCGAAGGAGGATGATCGCTTTTCATTCGACGTTTCTTCGCCGTCGACATATTCAGGGGAGTTTACGCCAGGAGAAGCGGGCGTAATCATGATAGGTATTGGTGTGGAAGGAGTAGGCATCTCATCTACTGCCGCGTTCATAGATAAATAAATGTTGGGCGGCTGCATCTCATTGGGACGAGCCGCCTCAGGCTTCTCTGAAGGAGCTATTGATGGTGCACGCGTGTCTCCCCTGCTATCGATGGACAACCGTTCTGTAGTCAATCAGCATCAGCGCGACGAATGTGTGCTGGCAGAGGACACCCACTATCATCGACCCCAATGTCGCGCCTTTCAGAAAACCAATGGAATATCTCTACCCATCTGTCGCTCGCTCCTTCCGGTCCCTCAACATACTCCGTGAGCGTAAGCTGCGTCATGCGCAATTGCAGAGCATGCTCAAACGCTTCGTGTCGAGATGGACACGGCCTGTCCGGCGTTGGCCGCAGCAAGGTAGCAGAAGACGGAATGGACACAGCGTTCACGTCCAGAACGCTTGTGCGAGCTGAAGTAGCAGGCTGTGCATCGCATGGACCATCCTCGGCGTGACCGTGCGCCGCATTGCCGTTTGGCATCGGAACAGCATAATCATGCGCATGTACTCCATTTGTCCCATTGATCTGCGTGTTAACCTGTGTCGCAGTGCTGTCATCGGCTGCGTCCGCTTCACCTACACCGGCACCAACTTCCAAGACTCCTCGAGCCGCTTTCCAGTCCCCAGTAGCAGTGAGGAGAAGACCGAGAAGGTGCCAGTATCGGATTTCACCAGGCTCGCCTTCTACTGCCAGACGTGCACTGGCTATTGACTTCTGTAAGTCAAGAGATGGACCAGGTCGTGCATAGGCAAGAGCGAGGTGATACTGCACGGAAGGTGTAGAAAACGTTTCTGCTGAAGCGAGTAGGCACGAGAGAGCATCCGCAAAACGGGACATCCGAGTATGAGGGTCTTGTTCTGAATATGAAATTAGTGCATTCTAACCATACATGCATGCAAGGATACCCACCTGCCTGGGCAGTAACGGAATGCCAAATACCCTCTGCGAGCCGTACATTAGCAACTAGCTCCTTATCGGTCTGATTCAGTCGAGTCTTCGCCTTGTCAATCATGACCCCCGCTTCCTTCGCGCTCGCGATCGCTGGGCTACTTTCGCTCTCAACTAGACTCAAGCGGCAGAGCATTCTAGCACCCTGAATCAACGTGTGAACCCAATTTCTATCGGTGTCTATGTCCTCGTCCTCTTGAATGTTGCCAGTGTGTACTTCTGCCATCTTCGTCTCCCGTGCCTTACTCACTATTTGGACGTATAGGCGTAGAGTTCGTTTTGCAAGCTCTGGGTCACCCGATACGTACAGAAGGCGTGTCATGTGGCGGAAGATTTTATGCGAGTTGAACGTGAGACGGGTTGCCCACCAAAGCACCTGTCTCGTGCACGTCAGTCCAACAACACAATATATCTTCACCGGTGGACTTACATCGATAACCCATCCCGCGTATTCCCCAACAGCGCCGTCAGCCTCCCATATAGCCACACAGAGATCCACCAGGTCCTCGACCCGCACATTGCGCTCACCCGCCCTTGGGAATCGAGTGCTCACACTCAGGATCGCACGGTACTCCTGGACAACAGACCGTGCCGCGCTGACCCACTTGCGCGACTTTTCGCCGCCCTCTCTTGTCGTAGGAAGCGGCGTCGCTGCTAAGCCTGCATTCGCACGAAGGACAAACGCGCGAAGGTGCAACATCGCGACAGTCGAGCGGTGCTCGGCCCTAAATGTCGGCGGCCAGTGTGTGCTGCAGGTGTGATAGCAATCAAGCAGACGCCAAAACGCACGGTCCTCCTCGCCCTGCCCGCACACGTCGCACAGACGTGAGCCCAAAATGATCGCGCGCCTTAAGAGTCGCTCGACCCACCGCCATAGCTCGCGATACCGGCCAAATGTGCTAGAATCCAAAGCGCCTACGCCGCCCGCTGCTGGTGTGCTCAGCCGCGTGGCCACGTACAAGGGGATGTCGGACGCAACACACGCAACCAGAGGCAATGCGACCAGATACGTATTGAATGACGTCTGTGGATCCTCCGGGGATATCCTCTCGGTTGACATTCCTGCTGGAATGTAAAAGATGGCGTACAGGTAATTCAACGAAAACACTTGCCTTGTAGACAAATGCTCCGGATCTTCTCGGTAACAGACCATGTAGTACCGTCGCCAATCTCAGCAACAGACGTAACGGATATAGAAGAGACATTGCTCCCTGTCAGTGTCGACACAGTGCTTGTGGTGCCGCTAGGAGCAAGCAGTGTCGATTTTGAAGCCCCAGCTTCAGGACTACGAGTCTGCACGTCCTTGAGTGACTTCACCTCGGCCAATATTGACAAGCACTCGGATGGGCGTCTCAGGGCGTACGCATAGTATGCCACCGCGAGTCGTATGGACTGCGATATGTTAGGTCGATCTCGGACAGCAACATACGAGCCATACGCACGTCAGAATTCGATGCAATACTCAAAAGAGCGTTATATCCGGCAGCAGCCTCCTCCACTCGCTCCTCCGGCAGCATACATTCTTGACCGAGTAAAAGCGAGCCCTGCTTGCTGATGTCGTTCCCGTCCAAGCTACGGTCACTCGCATCTGCGGAGAGTAGAAGAGATAGGGCTTGGGATTGAGAAGCGAGTTCAGCGATGTGCGCGTTTCCTACGCAGTGCTTGTTAAACTTGCGGAGAAGCTCTGACCAGGACAACGGTGCGCCGCCGGGCGTCCGTGCTGGTGAAGGATGGTCCCATCTTCCAGCGGTGAGAGTCTCCCAGAGCTGTTTCCAGTAGTGTTTGTCTTTCGCCGAGGCCATGGAGGAGGAAGAGGAACTGGCCTCGTACAAATTCCTTTTCTCTTGCTGATTTCATTCAAAATTCACGCGCAGATGGCGTGGTCACGTGCACGCTCACCCGAAACTCGCTGACCTGAAGAGAAGCTCCTTCAGGTATTTGCGCACTGCCCTACTCGGCAGAACTGGTTTCGCTCTATGTATGCCAACCGCGCACCTGGACAAGCGAGTACGCGTTGCATCTTTCCCAATGTCGATTTCTGGCACAAATTCTAGGGAAGGAGGGAGAGAGGTGTGTTGGCTGCACAGAAAGAAAACTGGGAATGAGATCGTTGCGAAGGTAATTCGGTGAGCACTTCCTTATGGGAGGAAGAGGGTATAATCTGGTGCCGATACCTTTACTATCACCGCCCTCTCAGAGGTCAGAGGCGTGAACCGCATGTTGATGTCGTGCCCTCCCCTCCTCAGGGGGTGATCACCGTTTGCCAGTGCGAAGAGGAGCGATCTGCCACGACGACATCTCAGTGGGATAAATAGCTCGTTGGTAACTACCAGTGGCACATACTGCGCCCTCTGCGACGTGAACGCTTGCTCGGTGCTCTTCTCGGGGTGCCTGCCTTGCAGTCCGCTATACGCGCCCTGTGCTTCCGCTATGTACCCTTGCGGACAGCCGCGAACTTGCACTGCATGGTCACCCCTCCTGGACGCTAACGTTACGCCCTTGCCACCCTGCCCAAGCCGGTTGTATTCAACCTCGCTGCTGCTGCTTTGATGCGTCTCGACATTTACATCCGCTCGTGCCTCTTGGGCTGGATGTTTCGAGACAAAATGCCTGCTTCTGCTGCATCATTCTATCGAATATATTGATACAGAGCGTATCCCGCTACGTGCGACTAGTTGACTGCTATGAGCCCAATACTCACACCTAGATCAATACGGCGGATCGCGTGTGCTCGCTCGCCTCCTATGTGGTGATCAAAATTCAATTTCTGGCGTGGTTGAAGACAGAGACGCATCTGCTCTTTAGCTGCACCCCAGCTATCATCCATCAATGCTTGGCGAGACACTTACTCGTCGAGTATGTATGCGGTGCTGCCCTGCGGCATCTGCACATACGCTGGTCATCCATCCATGGCGTTCTCCTGGTGTATGACATCCTTGGCGCTTTATCTATCTGCTATGTTCACCAAGATTTCGACTGTGGGACCACGTGCTATTGGTCGTTCCATATGGTGTGTGTAAGTTCCTCGCACTGGAGTCTTTTCCTGTACTGATGGTGCTATCCCTCAGGACAACTCCTTGAAGCTGGATGGCGTACTATGATGGATATCAGCTGCTACTCAGAGTACTGAGGCTGGACGGATGGGGAGTACGAAGTGGTCGCGGTCCGGTTTCTACTTTTTGGTGCTTGCTATGCCGGTTCAATATGTCTTTTACCTAGTATTGTGCACGTAAACTGGGAGTTGTGCAAAAATTCTC